TATATCTTATGTAAACAGGGACACACATATAATCCTGAAAATAATAAAAGTTTGAAAAAAAATATAACTTATTTGGTGATATTTTAGATGAAAATGTCATGTTGGTCAACACGGACATGTGAAATTGGCTATGTACTAATGAAAAATGATTAAAAAATAGTATGTTACTCTTTAAGAATAGTGTTTTATCATATATCATGTTAACAAGAACACTTGAATTAATAACTTTAAGCTTTGGAAACACACTTTAGGACATTTTTGTGCCTTAAGCATCTCATCAAATGTTGCGGACCCAAATGGCACCCGTTTGGTAGAATGACTCACTGGACATTCGCTGCACATTAGAGATTGTCTCTTTCTTTTTCTCAAGAAATAAACACATAAAATGACAAAACTTGGAGTGGACAGAGAACCAAGAACAATCGAATATACTTTAAAAAAATTCTCCCGTTGAAGCTCGCTGAAGTTAATCTCTCAGAACCACAGGTCACCAGCGCTTTATAGTAATGACGTCAGTAAGGGACCGTCTAAAAAGTGCTTCACATAGGCAACTCTGTAAGATTCTACCAATATTATAGCCGTCTATAGGAGGATATCTGACGTATTGCAGTATTCGGATACAGCATGCATTCAGCACAGTGGGATATAACACTCACCACAAGTGCAATATTACACAAAAGTCTTACAGATGAAATAAAAAAAAATACATGTATATTTTTTATTTTGGCAAAAAAAAAAAAAAAAGAATGTTATATGTATTTTTTTATTTTAATGGTTTTATTTAAGATGAGGCATAAATGTAAAACCAAAGGCACAGTGATAGACTCTATTATTCCTATCAGCTACAGCCAATAGATAAAAAAAAAAAAACTCTTTTTTTTTTCTGTGCTTGATCACACTAAATAATATGATCACACAGAATAAAATGATTCAGAAGAACATTGTGTGTTTTGCTGGCATTGGCATAACCAGAAATTTCGGTGGTTATTATTATTATTATTACAAAATATGAAAATTACGATTGTTATCCTGATCTGTACAATTAAACTGGTAAGTATGATGGGCTTGTGCGTTTCAGGTGGATGTTGGACAGCAGTAGGAGCGGTGATGACACTAATTATTTATTTAATCATTTAAGGAACAATCTAATTTTTAACGATCATTTCTCATTAATGATTGAAGCTTCTTTAATTCTTATGTGTCATATATTTTAGGAACAGGAGAAATACAGGAAAGTGGGTGCTATGGGTTGTTGGGGGCTTAAATTAAATTAAATTAAATTAAATTAAAAGCAACACAATGTCTAGTTGCTGTAGTTTATAGAAATAACAGACTTTATTGTACTGCATATTTTACTTGAATTTATATGTGAACCTCATACAATCAAAAAGTTATTAAATTTATTTTTTTCTCTTTTTTGCCAAATAAAACCAAAATTTAAAAATCCAAATGAAAGGATCCAATGAAAAAGGCATTGATTTTTTAAATTTTTGCTGAAAAATAAAACATTTAAAAGCATTAAAAAACAGTAATTTTATTTCATGAATATATGAATTTTATTTATTTATTTTTTTTCTTCTGGACAAAATAAAAAAAACCATATATATATATATATATACGTAACGTAATGTAATATTGCATTTCTAGTGAATCTTAGTGCACATCACGAGGCTCAGTGTCTCACTAGTTGTTGCGAATTAGCGATAATCTACTTAGCGGTTTTAACAGATGTGTCTCCTACTGAAGGCATGAGATGCTGCTTTCAGGTCTGGAGACCGGGAAGCTTACAGTGCATCCAGGGCCAATCTCATGCGAGGAATCCGGGATGCCAAGCACAAATACAAGCTGCAGATTGTATACAGATTGTATAACTTATTGCACCATAACCTTGTTACCTCATTTTTAACTTATTTGCTATTTGCACTACTGGTTGGATGCTAACTGCATTTTGTTGTCTCTGTACTTGTACTCTGACAATGACAATAAAGTTGAACCTAACCTAACCTAACCACTACTACAACTTTCAAAATGAAGAAATCTCAATTTCTGGATTTTTATGTTTTTTTGTTTTGTTTTGTTCTTAATTATGAGGTTATTAATGTACTTATTCTGTGAGACTTTTGTGTAATACTGCCCTTGTAATGACTGTTACATCCTGCTGTACTGAATGCATGTTGTATCCGAATACTGCAATATTGCAGGTCAGATATCCCGCAAAGTAGACGGAAACTTACATAGTTGCCCATGTCAGGCACTTTTTAGACGGTCCCTTACAGATTTCTTATAGGTTCACTTCAGCGACCTTCAGGGGGAGAAATTTCAAATATTACTTTTCCAGCAAAAATTTTATGTTACAGAAAAAATTTTGTATGTTAGTAAATAACAGTAAGTAAGTAAGTAACATACATGTATTACGTAATAGATGACTTTTTAGACAAAAACAATAATGAAGGCTGTCGGGTATTGGCAAAAACAGATATAGAAATATAGATTTTGTTTAGTTTAGTACTGTTTACTGGTCGTTATCAGGATTTTTACATATTTAATATAGTAAACATGTAATTTCATTATTTTTAATATACAGCATTTCTTTCCTAAGACCATGTGTATAGTACTGTATGCACATAAATTAGAATACTTCACTCATGAGCATGTAATTGCAGTGTCCTGTGAAAAGGATAAATATTGAACACATTACTGTACGAGACTTGATTTATCATTAGCAAGATTAGCACTATCAGGAGGTTTTCTTTAGTCATATCTGTGGTGTGAAAGCTAGTCGTATACAGGTGCTTTTGTTACAAATGTCACAAACATCAATATCTTTGAGCTCATCATTGTTTTTACTCAATTTCTATACTGCTGTATTATTATTTACTGCACATGAAGAGGCAGAAAAAACAAATTCATATTTATAATATTTTATTAATGAGTACAAAAGGTATTAAAAAGGAATTATACAGCACGTTTAAGTCAAACTAGGGCTAATTTAATTAGTCATGTTAATATCCAAGGTTATTCAACTGTAAGTTTCAGGCTATTACAGAGGCATATACAGTATTTTCACAGGTCCATCTTTTTACCACATCACGTTTGTCTTCAGCGCATGCAATATCCATACTCTCAGTAAACAGCAAGACCCAGGGAGGAAAAGAATACACAATTTAATGTGCATCATCTTCTCTCATCTACTGTTTCACATTTGCAGAAAATACATTATACATGATGACAAAAAGAAGCCCATAATAAAGAAATGACAGTATTAATAATGAACTGGATAATTCATTTAATAATGATAACAGGATAATTCATAATAATAAGTCTGAAATGTCAAGAACACTGACACTCTTCTTAACACGCAAATTGTCCAGACAATGGATGGGGGCACAAATGAGGTGAAATTGGAAAAGCCTTTGCCATAAGATGGAAAAATAATAAATGGATGGTAATGTGCTGCTGTCATTGCTGAAATATTCTTAATTACATTAGCATTAACAAAACAAAGCTTTAATCTTCTTAAGAAAGTCCAGTAAAATAGAAAAAAAAATACACCTTCAAATGTATATGTACTTAATTTTTATTTAACTTAATCATTAGTCTGTGTGTAGTATAAGTCTCTGATCCATTGTAGAGTGCCAATGATCACATTCTCGTCGGTATTTTCTTAAATAGTATGTTCACTGAGCCTGGTGTGTTAGATGCTGTCACCACTATGGTGTGTTACCAAGGTAAGGAGCAGATAAAGACATTACAGTGCAGCCAGCGAGAAAAGGCTCATTAGAGAGTGGCTGGTCAATATGACAGGGGTCGCTGAACTGCATCATGAGAACAGGACTGAGACAGTTCTCCCTAAAAAACAAGATGTAATCTGTCATTTTTATTTTATAGCTGCATTATGAAGCATTTATTTTTATGCAGGGAGAACATCTAATAACCTGAAGGTGAAATGCTCCCTTGACCAATGCTTTAGGGTATGTACCAATGTTCTTGTCACCAATACTGACACACCATCTTTGAATACACTTCCTCAATGCTTCAACAAGATGCTGAGTATAGCAGCGTGACTACTTTGATTTTTGTAATCTTTCTATTTTTAAATTTGCACCTTCAGACAGAGTGCACTGAGGCGTACCACTGGTGATGGTAGTTCTAATATTTTACTTTTTGCTACTGTTTTCTTTAAGATCCACAGTTAGTGATCAGATTAGTACTTGGCAAGGACACATACAAAGGGGAAAACTCAGCTGGTTCTGAAGGAAACCACTTTAGTGGTCTGGAATGAACGGAAGTACAACCAATTTTTTCAATAATTAGTTTTGTCATGTTTCAGGTCTCACTTTATAGAAATATTGTAACCATAAAATGTTAACCACGAAATGTGTACTCATATTTGATAACATGTAATCCTCAAATGTTATAGCTGTATGGAACCGGTATAGTGCACAAGGTGACACGGAGGCCTGAACGTGATCTATATGACCTTACATAGGCAAATGGGGAAAGCAGGAATAAGCTGTAAATTTAAGTGAGAAAGTCTGCCTTAAACACTAACATAAGCATATATGGGAATGTTGGGTCTTGTGAAAAACCAGATGTGGAAGTTTTTTTCGTGTAAATGTATATAAGAATGGCCCTCTAAAGAGTTGGGTAGCTTTCTCTGCAGAGAATCGCTCGGCTTTATTTTTTGAAAGAATAAAGTCTTTGGCCTCGAACCTCTGCTCTCCGGAGTGATCTTTGATCTTCATTACTGGCTACATCAACTTTTGCATTTTAATGTTACTTCCTTTTTTCTTTCTTTTTTTTTTTTTTTTTTACTTCAATGGGTTGAATAAGTCAACATATTTTCTATTATATGTGCATTTACTCTCTTTTTTATACACATTTACTTTTTTATTGCACCAATAATGTGGTTATAATAATTTAATATCAGAGTAAATTGAAAGATATTCCAATATTACAGACATAATATTAACTTGGTCAATTTAACTTGAATTTGTGGGTCCCTGGAGGACTAGTGGGTAGGCCACAGCGATCTCACCACTGTGGCCCAGGTTTGATTCCCAGCCAGGGAACCAACCCCAGCCTAGGGTTGCATGCACTCTCAGTGCCGGTCCCAAGCCCAGATAAAATTGGGGAGGGTTGCGTCAGGAAAGGCATCCGGCGTAAAAACTGTGCACAATCAAATACGTGGACCAATGATCTGCAGTGGCAACCCCTAACAGGAGCAGCCGAAAGAGCAACAATTTAACTTGAAATTGTGTTTTAATTTAAATTGCAAATTTACTATATATATATATATATATACTGCAATTACTAGATTAGTACAATCTTTTATCTTGTAAAGCTACCCAGAAATATAAATGTGCAACAGAAATAGATGTAGAAATAGATGTACCAAGAAATCTAAAAGCTGTCTAGTTAGGTTAACTTGCAAAGTAATACGGACCCCCCCCCC